ACAATTGCCCATAAGTATTCAAAGTTACATTTATTTAAAACATTTCTCACGAATAAATTGATGAACATACTTAGATTTATTCTATTCTTGTGTTTTGTGACCATACCTCGACTATTTTTCCTTAAAATGGCTGCATAGTCTACACATACAATAAATCACAGTGAATTCAGAAACCTCAATCATTCAAGCTTTTTTACCCATTGTAAATTATTCATTCGACAACAGGACCTTCACAAAGATGAACCGCCATTGCTTCAAGTTCAGAAAAAAAAAATTTGCGTTATCATCACCAGAAAAAATGACAAATAGGAAAACAGATGAAAAGCGCTTTACCTTTTAACCTTCGAAACGTCCGTACCCGAAAGGTGAATACATAATATCTTTCATAAGGATATGAATATTTAGTTAGCATTGAAACAATTTTGCTTCTTTACGCAAAGCTTTTTCGCATAAGTATTTAATGTGAAGCTTAAAATCCAAATTAATCTTCACGTTTGTTGAGATAAAGGGGATTTTGCTCATGATTCAATGAGATTAAAGTTAGATTGAATTTTTATTCAAATTTGAGAATATTTATGATCTCTTTGCTAGGAATGTGGGATTGAAAATTTTGAGACGTCTTTTGAATACTTTGAGATGTCTACTTGTAAGTATATTTGCTGAAATATCTTCACATGGGCGTTATTTATCTTTTCTAAACCGAATCATCACATCATGATAAGCGAAAAAATATCAATGGATAACGCATAAATCATCACTGTCAGAGATATGTTTCAAGAGTATCATTCACATAATTGTTTCAAATTACGAATTACATAAGAAGCTTACTCAGACGCGAAAAATGAAGAACATTTTTTATTATTTCAACATTGAAATTAAATATTTAATTGTTTTGAATCTCAAAACGTGTCTTGCACAACAATTTCTTACCATCAAAGCTTACCGCTTGTAAGGCTCAAATACGCCACGAAAGGCATTTTAATTACGTCTTCATGTTTTGAAAGAACATTTAGTCAGTAAATTCAAAGTGAAAAGAATTTTTACGCTCGTTTTCACTCGCGACCTAAAAAATTTAACACCGGAAGTTTTCTTTTCCATTGTAAATATTTACAAGTTATTTTTAGAACATAAACTTTTCATGTAGTTTATTTACAAGAAAAGAACGGAGGGTAGATTCGCACTTCTTTGGATAATGAAAATAAATGAAACTTTTGAACTCAGTCATTGGTTAGGATTCAGTTTGAAGTACAACAATGAGAAAAATTTCATAATCTTATGAGGTCAGTCCGGAACTTTCATTGAACATTAATTTTGAATTATGAACATCTGCTTCCTGTTGTGAGTGTTGTGACTTGGTGAAATTCATTCAAACTTTCTTTCTTTTCAAATGTATAACATGAAAGCTTGAAACATCGTCATTTCCACCAAACTAAGTAGCATTTAGTAGAGTGTAAAGTTTAATTGAATGGAATGAATCAAAGTAGACATTGTCCGTTATACAACATTATAGAACTTCTTCCTCGCATTTCACAATTATATAATTAATAAACATAAATCTATGATGATTTTGAAGTTTGGGACAAATTTGAAATTCGGTTCGTGCGCATCAACAGAAATGAGATCGAAACTCATTATTTTTAGATTTTCTTTCATTTTTCCTTCCAAGTTCAAACATATTTTTGTTACATCTTTTTCACGCTTGAAGAAAAAAGGAAAATTTTAAAAGAAGCACATAAACATGGAAGGAAATAAATCAATTTATTGATTTAAGGCAACATAGGTAAATGGATTTTCCATTTAGATAAATAGATAACCATATGAGAAAACCAAAATATTTATTCTGAAACAAACTAAATGAATAGAAGGTAAATTAACGTGATTTTTTTTCATTGCCTTCATTAAACGATTCTTGTTTGATGAAGTAAACATTATTGAAATCAGACTATCATTCAACTGTAATGTCTATCCTATTAATGAAGAGAAGGAATTTGAAGAAACACAAGACATCGTCGTCATTCCTGGATGTTGATCTAAAACTCAGAAAATCAATAAATATCCAATGAGAATTTAGGCAATAAAAATGTAAGTGAAATTGAAAATTTATCCTTCGACGCGCTAATGCTTCAGATGAACATTATTGGTGAGTTAACAGTTGAGCTGATAATAAAAATAGTAGCAAATAAGTTGGAAGTGAAGATAATCAACTGAGAAATTAGTATGGAGGAAAGAAATCAGAAAAACGACATTTAAAATTCATATTTAATTATCCAAATTATACTTGGCTTTATTGTTTATGTTCTTTGGGTAGTTCCATTATGACTCATTGGTTTTTCCTTCTTTTATGGTTTAATTATGCGTTTGGAATAAATACATGTATTTATGCTTTTCCATTCAATAATACATATTTCATTCGAACCATTCAGTTATTTTCAACTTTTAAGCAAAATATTTAAATAATAAATAAACATTTTCCAAATTTCCTTTTTGTAAATATTTTTCTGAAAATTTCAGACTTTGTGCTTTTTTATATAATAAAATCATAGCTAATATTTCTTTGATAATCTTTGTATCTTGATGCTCTTTTCTTTATTTATGTTCATTTCATTCTTTTGTTAATGACAAACGCTCCAAAAAGTGCACATTGGAGTATTTAAAGAAATTAAAGAGCAAAGAGATGAACATTGTTTCCATTGACTTCATTTATTTTCTTGCGAAAATTATGTGCGGCGTTCATTATTTAAAAGTTCGGTCTCTTTATTTTTTAAACTTAGTGTGTGCACGGCACTTGAAAAAAGGAATGAAAGTTAATTGACTGAGTTATCCTTTGTTGAAAACAATTTTTCATCTAAATCTTTCATCTCAAGTAGATATAACTGAACTTTGACTTCGTTTCGTTTGCTATGATTGAGTGGTTAACATTCAAAATTGTATATGTTTGCTTTTGACACTAATGAACATGAAATTAACGTGACTTGTGTACGTTCTACAGTTTAACATTTCGGCTGAACTAGGATTAACTTTAATTCAAAATTGTTTCAAATGAAAATAGTGAGTGGACGTTTGAATTAAATCAAAGCATAAGAGCTTGTAATTAAAAATTTTTCAAGTTCCATTACGTTTAAAGAGTATACGAAAACAAACTGAGATGCATTTTAAAATTATCCCATTCATGTTTATCATGTGATATGAACTAAAAAAACTTGTTTTTATTTATATTATTTGTTGAGATATCAGAGGAAATTTTAAATACTTGGAAATTGAAAATTCGTGCCCCTCGTTAACAAATTTCCTTTCTATATTTGTCAGCAAACTTTCAACATTTATTTAAAGAATTCTAAAAAGCTTTCTTTATTCATAATATCATGACGAGCGATGACATTTTCATCTTACTACTTAAAAAAAATAAAATATTTATTACAAAGCTTTTGAGAAAGTTTTAAATTTTCATGACTTTTGCTGTCAAAGGTTTTTACTTTCTCTCTGATTTCTCAACAGTTTTACGCCACTGTTAAACCTTATCCTTCCAACTATGTCTAATGCCTTAAAATATTAACAAATTCTAGAAAAAAAAGAAGCTCAAGCGACTCGACAAATTTCACAAAATAAAACGACGACAAGGAGCTTCGCAATTTTTCTTTTTTCCATAACACAAACATTTTGTTCTTCTAAGTTGGCAACAACACCACACAAAGAAAATTTACTTGTCATTATTATTAAAATCTTACTTATAAGCTATGCTGGGGTATGTTTTACCATGCTTAATATCAATGGCTTTTTTTTCCTTTCATCTAATGATCAATTTACATTTTTTAATTAGTTTTCTGGCTAAATGTTTCCTCTCAGCCTCGACTAAGGTTAAGAAAAATTTACTTAACATTTTAAATAAGCCAACCCAAAAATCATCATTATCATCACCTCGATTGGTGAGTAAAAAGTGTAAAAAATATGCTCGTACTTTTTGGTCCTTTGCTTCTTCGGAACCATAGCATAGTTCGGCAAATTTTTAGCCTTTCCTAATTAACTTTCTTTTTTCTTGAATTTATTTTTTATCACTCTTTCATGAACATAATTTTGAAGTCAGAAACTTCTTCAACAAAACTTTTTTCTGCTGTCTTCATGATGTAGAAAAAAATTAATCAGTTAATGGAAACCAAAAGATGTGACGCAACTTGAAATGTTTAAGTTTTTCCACACAATATTTATGTTCATGAAGCATCGTTTGATAGTTTTGCCTTACAGCTACTATCACCATTTATCGTGGTTGTTGCATTGGCACCATTTGTATTGTTACTACAAGAATTTACATTTTTACTATTTCCTACATGATTTTGTCTCTGTTGACCTTTCTCAAAGCCCTCGATGAGTGTTTCAATGATAAATTTGATAGTGATTTTGTAAATTCCTTCGACATTATCTGTATATCGATCGCCAAGAGTTGATGACACAGCTGCGAGAAAAGGCTTTTCAATTTTCTGTAAGAAAGTAAATAAAAGTGAAAATTTTCAGTATTTTCATAGAAGGAAAATTGCACTTGGTGGGCGTCGAAGTTTATTGGCATTTACGGTTCGTTTTATTACATTTTTTATTCACTGAATGGTAGTCAACAAAAGGCAGCAACAGCGAAGTTGGGATTGATAAAAAAATTTGAATAAAAGCTTACATAAAAGAATTTATTTTTGGAAATCTAATCATGTTTTGTCGAGAATAAAACATAAACTGCTTGCGTACATTATTTATTAATGTTTATGGATCTATTTATTGTCGTAATAAATTATGCGAAGAGATAGAATTGTGTTTATATGATAACTAATTACTGCTCCCCATAACAACATAAAAAGCTTCAAATATTTTCGTATTTCTTTGTTCTTTCTGTTTTCTCCATTGTTTAATATTTCAAGTTTATTAAAAACAAATAACAAGAAGATCAAAAGCTGGAAATGAGTCACGTTTGTGGAAGTTTTTTTTTCATCTCTCTTCCCTTATGATTTTTTACGTGCTAAGAAAATGTAACTAAAACTTAATTAATTTGGGAATTAGATTTGAGACGTTAGCAAAATAATAATAAAGTTGAACCTGGACAATTAATTGATTTTGGGTTGTCGCAAAATATTTGAGAATGACCAGACTTCCTTAAAGTAAGTGTTGAATTTAATTTTTTAGTCATAAGAAATTCTATTTGAAACCATCTTGACAAATTATCTGTCCACAGAATTTCAACACTTCTCCCTAACTGACCCTTGCATTCATTTTAGATACGAAAAGTTAATTATAATTAATGATAAATAGTTCGGTCCAATAATTTCTCATTGGCCTTCTCTTCTTTTTTTGTGAATGAAAGTTACATTGTGACCAAGATTGTGACCAACAAACTGAGTAATAACAGAAGTAATTTAAATAAAGGGAGAAACTTTCTGTTAAAAGTTTAAAATAATTTTGTTGATTAGAAACTTATGTAGCACAGCATTTGCAACTCATTCTGTCATGGGAATGCATCATAATTATGCTGATATTTGGATATTTCTTTCACTTTAGCTTTTATGCTTCTATTTATTTTATCAAAAGTTATATTTCATAAAGCATTTGTGAGTGTTTATGTGAAACATTTGAATCATTAACCATTTTATAATAAAACTTTTCACCATACTAAGTCAACAAGTTGTCAGTAGCGTGGCTATGAAAATTTAATTTGGTTTCCCCAAATGTGAATGTCTCATTTTTACATGCCTTCAATGGTAGCCGAACTAATTATGATAAGTTTGACATATATGAATGGCGGCGTTATTTACGATGTTTGAAATCGATTAGAAAAAATCTATTGGGGAAAAACCGAGTTACGTTTTTATGTCGATAAATATTTAAAAAGAAAATGACGTGTTGCTCATATTTTTGATTTTTTTTGATGAGGTTAATGGGAGACTTTTGTTTTCAGTCGTCACTAAAATTATTTTAAGCTTGAATTGACATGCAAGTTAAACAGAACATTCTAAATGAGTCTATCAATTAAAAGCATTTAACAATTAGTAAACTGCTATTGAAATATATAAATTAATTGAAATTGATACAAACTTTCATTTTATTTGAAACTTTTGGTCGCTAATTAATTCAATAATTCGATGAAAATTGTTAAAAAGTTAATTAGGGTATGAAAGTTTGTCTTAAGTGTTATAGAAAATGTTTACTGAGTTGATAAACATCATAGCGATGTGAATCGAGATAACTTTATCTTAGCAACAGTCAACACTTAATCAGCTTTTCATTAGATTGTATAATTTAACTGGTCAATGTCAAACCTCTAATCCTTTCAAAAATATTTTCAATTATGTTTTTAAGGAAATTTTGAAGTTTTTTTCATGTACATATAATGTCTTTTTCAAAGTTGTAAAATAATAACAAATCCTATTTTAGAATCAATTTCAATCTAATTCCAAAGTCAGTTTGGAATTGTCGAGAATTGTTGAAGAAGAAATTAAATTTTAATTAAAAATAGAAGGAATTTACAATAAAGTGATGCTCCAAATCATACTTAAGTATTTTCTACTTTTAATACAGGAAAATGATAAAATTTCCTGAGACTTTTCCTAAGTTCAGGAATTTATTTTATTGAGTTGATAAATCTCGTGTTCATACCGATTAAGTTTTATTGTCCACCACAATCCCCATAAATACACTCGGAAAATCATTTGAGACTCACTTATTCATCCACTGACGTTCGTACACTGCCATATTAAACAGTAGAACAAGTCAGAAACATGCTTGTACTCTAATATCAAATTTGTTGATCATTCGTTTGAGCGACGCAAAGAAGGCATATAAAATCATAAAACTCATAGCTTTATATAGACAAATAGGCTGAAAATGACACAGAAGACGGCACAATCTCATAAAATAGATATAAAACAGAGCTCAGCACGTTTTTCATTGATATTAAATAGCGCTTGGCATCAATTCCGTTGTTTGACACATAAGACTTTGGAAATTTAATTAAATTTAAACCACACATTCGTTTTTTGGTTGTATTCTGTTCAATCTATTTAATTAATCTAAAACTACTGGAAAATATTGTTTTTGAGGTTTCCCTGTGAAACTTTTTCATTATATCCTTAAATTTTTATGAACGTTTTAAGCTCTTTGTTTTTATACATTGAATACTATCAAAACATAAAATTCTATCGATTTCCTTTCTTATCCATACATAACTTATCATATATACTCTGAAGTTGAGGTTTTTCCAAGGTTCAGCTTAATATAAATCTCGTTTTCCATTGGAAATCTATTTTTACCGCTTTTCTTTATTGGGGTGTTATTAAATAATTCTTTTTGGAAAGGAATTGTTCAAGTAACTAACATTTAGATTAAAGCTTAACGATAAACGGATTCGGGATCATTGATAATTCAAAGCTTGGTCAATGAAAGTGGTCAAAGTGGACATGACTAAAGTTCTTTCCGTCAAACCATTAAAACATGATGTGGAGTTACTTTACACTTCTCCAGAACTCATAAATTATTCATTATGGAATAAAACATGATTATTTTATTATTCCTATGGTGGACATTTCATGGTTATTATTTTGCATATCACCATAAATTTTTCATATCTTTCAATGTTCTTCAAAATTTCAGCTTTAAATATTACAAAAAATGTTACAAAGCTTTACAAATATTTTCAAATATTTAAGAAGAAAGTTTGAAAAGATGCTAAAATTTCCATAGAGTCGAGAAAAATAGAAAATTTGGACTTTGTTTACATTGTCGATGTTTAAACTTTAAGGTCGAGAAATATTTTTTCATTCCAATTATGCTTTAATATGCCCACAGTAACCATAGGGAATAAAATTTATTAAAAAAGTATTTTCTGTTTCAATTTGGAATCGTAAAAGTAAAGTGAATTCACATGTTGTCGAAACAAGTTGTTAATAATGTTTACAAACTCATTTGCAATAAAGGAGAAACGCGGCATTTCCTTAGAGATCGACAGAACAAAATGCCAGAATAATGAGGCTCATTAGTAGCTTTTGCTCCCTTTATTATTGTAAAATTTTTGAAAAGTTTGAAGAATATTTGCAATAAAATTTGATTGCTTACAAAAAGTATTTTCGTGCGCTCAATTTTTCTTTTCCCTTTCCTCCCTTTTCTCTGTAAATGTTACATAACGAATAGAATGAGATTTTTTTTTCTCACAAATATGTATGAAGTTAGGAAGAATAGAAGAGGTAAGAAGAGAAAGAAGAAAAGTAATTTATTACATTCCTGCCGATATCGACTCTTCTACTCGTAAACGAGCTTTAACATGACGTTTTCCCGAGTGAAATTTATGAAGAGAAAAGTTAGCAACCTTGAAATCAACCATGTGTTACAATTTTTATCCTACTAAAAACTTCTTCGCATGTGCAAATGGCACACATTCAATCTTGGTAAACATAAGATGCTCCATTTATCAACATAAAATAGTTTAAGTATTCCGATGGTGCCAAAATGACGTCGTAATACGCAGAAGTCGTGAGGGAGGAATATTTGCGTAGACATTTCTTTCCCTCTTTTAGATGATTTAGCATCATACTTTGTGAGATTTTCTTTACATAGCAAATACCGGCTGATTGCTGTGCTAATGATTCAGTAATAAACGATTTGTTTAAAAAGAAATCTCATAGAAAAGTTTAGTAAATACAACTGCCCTGATAATTTAGGAAAGAAATCTCACGTAATCGATCTGAATTTTGTTTACTTTAGAATCAACAGTTAACTTTATTTTCTTACTGAAAGAAAGGAAATCTAAATACAAAGTGAATGAAAAATTTCCAAAAGCACTTTTCTTTATTTAATAAATGGAAAACGGTCGTTTTGGAGAAGCTTAACGAGTATAAATAGACTAAGTATACCTGAGACAAGTGACGAAGGGTTTCAAATTGTTCTTTTTGTCATGTCTCATTCTATTGTGTGGTTGAATCCCTTTTTAAATAAAAAAAGAATGTGCAAATGGATTAGATAAAGATGTAAAATTTAGAAATGTCTCTGAATGTCTTTAAATACCTTTTACAATGTCCATTTCATTTATTATAATTTCTATTAAAATATTACAAACTTCTAAACTGAATTCACATCTTTAAAAAGATTCTTTTAATAACATAATTTTGAAAGCAGTTGTCGTCTCAAAAAAATGAAGCAAATTGAGGATATAAACATTGACGATCATTTTTTCGTGACCTTTCCATGTTTATAAAATAAATTCAAGTGCTTCATCGTAAGAAAGAAGAAAGTTTGGGGAAAGATTTCAAACCGATTCTCCTAAAAAAATCACAATGTCAGATTATTTTAATGATGCAGAAGGGAAAATCAATTGGCCTTGTGCTGTATTTTATGGTTGGATACCTGCCTTCCAAAATGATCCTATAAACAAATATACTTTATGAGAATCAAGCATCGTTTACGAAGAATGGAAGATATTTTGTTACAAAAAATTTTAATAAAATTTTTTCGATGATGAGAAGATTTTTCCAATAAAATGTTGAAAATACAAGAAATAATGTATTAATCGTTCGGTAAATGAAATTTAATTACACCAATGTAATCGAGTCTCCTGGTAAAGGATATAAATCATGTCGAATTGTATTTAAAATTCAGAGTTCATTAATAATTATGCTTAAAATTATACCATAAAAATGTTAAGTATGTTAGATTGTGGTTTGTCAACTCGAAACAGAGTTAATATAAAACGCCTGAAGATAACTTCTATTGTCATAACTCAGAACAATCCACTCATAATTAATTATAAATTCTTTAAACTTCAAGAACGGTTGAATTACTGAGAAGGAAAAATAAAACAAACAATTGAAAAGTTGAAAATGTAAACCTGCTACTTTCTTTCGAGATTTTATATTTTCTTATCTCACAAATCCATTACATGACGTCATTTCTTCTACAATGGGTTCCACAGAAAGATAAATGAAGATGATTATCGTTGGTTGTTACGCCTCCTGTGAATTCAATTTCCTTTAAATCTCTTTCCCTCGGTACATTCAATTATCAGTATCTTCGTTATATTTTCGTAACCACTGAAGAAAAGCTTTTTCTCCTTTAAAGCTAATAAAGAATAACAACAACAATAATAAATATTTACAGTTTCTTACAAATTTTCTTTTTTAGTAAGCTTCAAAGTCAGTGTATAAACAGTTTGAAAAGAATGAAAAGAGATTTGTTGTGTACACGATTCTACACGAAAGAAATGTATGTTTGATATTCAACGCAAGTAATAATATAAACATAATAATTGTGTGTTTTATTTACTTAATAAATGCTATAAATTTAGCCTTGAAATTTGTAGCAACGATGTGCGATATTGTTTCAATTTGTTTCTATGAATGTTTCATACAATCAGTTTTGTTGAGGAAATTTATGAAATATTTTATTTTATTCAACATTGAATAGAGAATACAACGAAATTTATTGATATGTTGTGACTGTCTGAACAATTTATTACATTCAATGAACAACTGCTGAGTTTCATTCATAGAGAGTTACTTAGAAGATTCAGTTCAACAATAATCGAATTGAATACAATTAGGTCACCCAGTAGTCACTTGAAATGGCTTTTCTTTGCATGTCAGAGATCCATCAGAGACTTGATAAATGGTAAGTAATTTAGTTATCAAGCTTGTTCACCAATCTCTCGAAAGTGAAAGCTTTGGGGAGGTTTTATCTGCAAACTGTGATTGTGAACAATTATTCTCGATGTCAATGATGAAATTTTGATGTTTTTCACGTGCCGAGATATTTCAGTAACATTTTATGTCGAGCTTCTAGCTCAATGAAGACAAGAGATTATTAAATTAAGACAATATTTAATTGAGAATCTTGGAAAGTTTATGAAACCAAATAATGGTTATTAAATAAGCAGACGGCTAGGAAAACAATATAAACCGACAATATTTTTAACTGTTCAAAAGCATCTCGAGAAGAGTCGTTTTCAATATTGATTTAATGATATTTACGGAGAAATTTATTGTTGTGGAATTGATTGGGAAGAATATAAATTTAATATAATTTATGTCCTTAGGTTTTGTAAATAGAAGGAGGAAATTTACAAATCAAAATAACAACATTATTGTCAATTTTTGGATCCCTCAAAAGTTTTTCAACATTTCTCAATTTTGACATTTTCATGTGTTTGAATTTAAAAATTTTTATTTGTGATTCTGATGCGCATTTGATGAAAATATTTTTGACTTCATCCACAATATTTAGATATAAAATTTGAAAAACTTTTCAATCTAATTTATGATATTTCAAGCCACAATTTGAAAATTTGTTAAATAATTCAGAAACATGAAATAATTAATTTTGGAATTTCATAAAATATTGATTTTACTTTAGAAAGTATTTTAATAATAATAAATTGATTATTTTAAATAAATAGCCTACGGGGGCGATAGAAACTTTTCCAAATAGCGGTTAATTTTTAGTTATTTATTCTAATTGCTTTATTACCAGGCACGTTCAAGCATTTAAATATCGAAGGAATGAACTTTCTACTTAGCG